ATAAAGAGCGATTTCACAATACTACTCAATTTGTTGACATTGCCCAATTAAGTGAAATGCTAACTTTGAGCAAACACAGAACAAATGTGGTTTGAAAATGACTTTTTGAGTGTCCTTGTCCACTCTCATTCATGAACACCGAAATTTCCCCAAAACTTCGTGCTTGCTTGTCAGTTACACAACACTGCGGTGTGGCATGCTGCCCTGTTATTGTTAACTGGCCCAGGCTCCACGTTAGACTTATGGAGAAAACAGCTCCTTTGCTGAAGCTGATGACGGACATGTGTTTGATACTTTCTGGGAATCTCCTGAGGTCTGTCAGACCAAATCAAATTGAGGCTGTATCGTTTCAAAAGATCTGAATTGCAATAATTTCTTTGTTGAGTTAGGCCTATTTGGTCCATTTTGCGTAATCTGTATTTTAAGTTGATTATATCTATAGGTCGAAGCCACAGTGTATGTAATTCAATCAGAATAATTCCTATGTAACTGATATATAATCTGGCATTGTAAGTGACATATTTATGCATTGTCTAAGCCTTTTTCTCTGCATATGTAGATGCTAGAAGGGGAATGAGGATTGCAAGATCATTTTTAGAGCGTATTTGCAGAGGAGTCATTGTCTGCACAGAGTCCCCTGCTGTTTGTGGTGTATTTAAACCCTGGGAATCGGCATCTACATCATGGGTAGGGATCAGAAATGAAAGGGGGAGTGAAAAGAGAGAAGTCTGTTCTGAGAAACAGAAGGCAAGCACGCATTTTCTTGTTATTACAGTAATCGGCTGAAAAAAAAAATACCCTGGTGGTCACCGAGTGCAGCTCAGAGATCCTCATTCTGAACTGAGTCTAACATGATCATGTTACACTACTGAGGATGGAGAAACACTGCAATGACCGAAGTGATAAACCAGGTGGTGCCTAATGAGTCTGTAAGGTCTAACAAAAATCTTCTCACTGGAATACTCCCCCACTTAACTGTCACATAAACAATAAGTGAAATGGGTACATGAGAATAGACTTGAGTGAAAGTAAATTTTCTGCAGCATGTCCACAAGTAACCATTAAATAAATAGTTTGATGTTTTAGTAATAATAATAATGCATTTTATTTATAGGTGTCTTTCAAGACAGTCAAGGTCATCTAGAAATCAAAGATAAAAAGAAAAAGAAAATAACAACAGATCAAATAAGTAAATGAGATAAAGAATAGAGTAACATAAAAAAACAAATAATTAAAATAATAATAATAACATAACAACAAATAAATAATCAGTAGAACAAGTTTACAGTGAATAAAGTTATGTGTAGAGAGTGGAAATGTGTGTAGACGGACGGGAGTCAAACTGAATAGGCTGTTTGAAAGAGATGACTTTTGATGATTACAAATGTCTGGCTGAAGGCTCTAGACCCCATGGTGGTCAGGTAGGCTGGCGGGACAGTGAGGTGGATGAAAGAGGAAGACCTAAGAGTTCAGGTGGGGATATGGATATGCAAGAGTTTGGAGAGGTAAAGAGGAGCTAGGTTGTGGATGGCCTTAAAGGTCAGGAGTAAGATCTTAATGCAGTATTTAACTGGGAGCCAATGAAGCAGCTGAAGGACAATGGTGATGTCATTGATGGAGCAGAGTTCTGGACCAGTTGAAGTTTGTGGACGGACTTGAGAGGGAGACCAAAAAGAAGCAAGTTACAGTAATCAACACGGGATATAACTAAGGTGTGAACAAGAATGGTGGTATTATGTGGTGTGAGGGATGGGCGAAGGTGTTTAATGTTAATTAAATGGAAGTAGGTGAACCAAGTGACATTGCTGATGTGAGTTATCAATATTGAGTGTGCAACTGTCAAGGTGGATTTGGTGCTAATGAAAAGTAACTCTGTTTTTATTACTATTTAATTTGAGGAAGTTGTAAAAAGACCAGGATTTGATTTCCTGCAGTCAGAGAGAGAGAGGTGGGCGGGAGAGTGGAGGTAGGTTTGGAGGACAGATAGAATTGGGTGTCATCTTCATAGTAATGGAAGTGGATGTTAAAGTTACAAAAGATGTAGCCAAGAGGAAGTAGGTAGATGATAAACAGAAGGCGACCCAAGAAAGAACCTTGAGGAACACCAGTAGTGACCGGTATTTTTTGGAAATATGCTTTGCTATCTTGCTGAGAGTTGGATAAATAGTTTAATACCACCCTCCTGCAGGACCCCAGGAAGTGTGCCATGCTTTGAAGCTAGTTTTACATAGTGGTCAAACCATGTAACTACAACATCCAGGTCCATTACATAATGTCATTGGGCCCCTAAAAACTTACGCTGGAAAAGAGACATTTATAAATCAGTGGATACATTTTTATGGGTGTCAAACCACCCGGGAAATCTATCCATTCAGTCTGATAACATTTTGAAAGTCTAGAAGAGCCTAACAATTAAACCATTTTATCCCCAATCAAGTCAGCAGAAGACTAAACTGGAAGCTGGCTGCCTGGCCAGCAGAGGTCTCTAGTGGGAATGTCAGTGGACCCAATGATGCGAAAGATCCGGATAACTTTTTGGCTGCAGGCGTCACTGAACAACTTTCATCGTAATGAAAGTATCCTGTGTCCAGTGCTGTATGTAGATCTCTTTATACAGCCATGCTCTCTTGTCTGTATGCTAAATATGAAGCTACAGCCAGCAGCTGGTTAGCTTAACTTAGCATAAAGACTGGAAACAGGGAACGGGTAGCTTTGCTCTGTCAAAAGGTGAAAAAAAGCCAACTTGCACCTCTAAAGTTCACTAATTAACACTAAACATCTTGATTATTTAATGCACAAGACAGGGGTAGGCAACCTTTACTATCAATAGAGCCATTTTTGGCAACAATGACTGCATCTCGTCTTCACTGTGAGGTTCAGGAAGACTTCAGGAAGGAGACATCAGGAAGAGAGCAGAATATAACATGTGAATCAAGCCCCCAGGATCAGCATTGCATTTTGAAACCAATTTGACATTATGGCCAAATCATACAATTACAACCTCTGGGTCTGTCAAGTGACGCCCAGACTTTTTTCCCCATAGACTTAAATTATGAAAGAGATACATATATTTCATACACTCAGTCTGACAACATTTGGAAAGCCTAGAAGTGCTTCAGGATTAAATCATTGTATCTGCATTCGGGTTAGTGGAAGGCTATTAACCGCAGGAATAACCGCAGGTACCAGCCCTGTAAATGAACGTGACTCCTGTCTGACTGCTGAGTGTGGACACTTCCTGTGTCTGACCTTTCAAATTAAATTCCCACATGGTTTAGTCATATAGGTTTTGGTTTATTTTGACAAAGTGCAGCTCCTAATTTTCATGCGACTAAGTGACCAATGAAATCTTGCCAACTAATGACCTTTCTGGTCGACTAACATTTGGTCGACTATTAGGGGGCAGGCCACCAACTTTGTAAAAAAAACACTTTATTTCAAGTTCAGTACATTTCCAGCAATGCCGTTTTCCTCTGTAGAGTAAGTGACTAACCAACAGCTATTTGACAGAGACAGCAAACTAGCTCGACGACATGGCCAAACACAAGTATGACGCTGAATGTATTAAACTGTGGACCCTCCAACTAATGACTAAAGGGAAATCTGGCCTCCATGGCTGGACCAGTTGGGAACCCCTGCCCTACAGTATACATACACACATATGCACACATACATAATCACAATCAGTGGAACACATTTTCAGTTATCAGTACCATGAAATTATTACACATCTGCTCACTCGTTCCAAATGTGCTTGTGGCTGTTGGATAATGCTTCTGCATTAAGTCTCCACACGCATACTCAGTGGAACGTGGGAACACTTTTCATATTAGACCTCAACTGGAAATATATGGAAAAGAAGATAAAGAAACACTGCTGCGATAACGATCGTTCCTCTGCAGATTACTAAAGATACATCAACCCAAGTGGCTGTCATTTTTGGATGTATATGTCTTTTGTTTGGCTGCTTCCTTTTCTGTATAGGCAACACCCTTAGAATAACAGCACTTCATTTAAGATGATGAATTCTTTAAGATGAGATGGCGGGGTGTAAAAATGAGATGACGACCTGGTAGTGCCATATCTTCTTGGCATCTCAATTCGATTTATCGGTTGAGTAATACCAAGAGTACAGGCCTGACTTGTATTCTGTAACATATACCAGTTCTTGCATCTGCACTTAACATCCAGCTGGTTTGAAAGCCACTAATACACACATTAAATTCCCACACCCTAACTATATTACTACAGTATGGTCCGGTTTTGTGGTACTTTCCAAACTAAATAATACTAAAAAAAAAGTTTACCTATGATTATTATGTTACCTTCTCTTCTATGCTTGACTGCTTCCTGGCACTCACATTTAGCTTTTATAAAACAACCCCAAAATCATTTAATAGACCTGATTTGAGAGCCTTTGGGAGTGGAGCTGAATTTATGCCCCAGGGCCCTGGAAAAAGGCAGGGGGAAAGGGAGAGATGGAAGATCACAGCGCAACAGTAAATAATGTTACAGTATGAATAATGAGCTCCCTCTGTGCCTGGGCCTCAACTGGACTAATGACAGAGACCTGGTTTAGATTAGGTCCTGCACAAACATATATACACGAGAGTACATGTGCAACACACACAAACCCACACACTGTCAGGAGGGAGGTCCTGTCAGTTTAGATAATCTGTTGCCCATGGCAAAAAGGGTTCTGGGTTCTGCTCTGGGACAGCTAATATAAAGGAGGAAACAAAGGAGGCAAAGGGCATCGCACACATCTTTAGTCACCCATTCACCCTTTCCTTTAAATTGTTGAGCATATCTCATCTGTTTCCCTCTGTTGGTCTTACTCTTCCCGGAGTTTTTCTTCTTCTGAGAAGGCTGAAAGTCAAAGCTCCTTCAGCCGTGGATCAGTTTTTCCAGAACGATACAATATCTCACACCATCAATTCAAATCTCTATCGTGGTGCAGGTCTGCCATCTGCTGTCAGTAACAGGAAACAGTCACGTAATGATATGCACATCATGATTTATTATTTAAAAAACTTCCAGTTTTCAGTGTCAAAATCTCCAGATAAACAACCTATCATACTTATCAAGTATCCTTTATTTCAAACTGCAGACTTTAAACTCATTCTACAGAGATAGTGTGATTTCCAGCTGCTCTGTGCTCTACACAGTAACCTTTTTATTTATACCAAACTCTATAAGTTAATCAGTTTGTGATACTATTAACACAGCCCAGACAGATCAATGTGTGACAACAACAAATCCCAATGCACGTCAGGCGACCAAGTGGAAATCTATCTGTCCAGAGGTCAGTTGCCTGAAATGCTCAGAATTAAAAGGCTGAGGCTTTATTAAAAACACATCTATGATCATGCTCCATCATATAAATATCTACATACGACAAAGTACAAGTCTCTGCCGATCTGCTGTGTTTCTTTATGTTTAGTAGTAAGTTAGTATTATGTGATTCCACCATTCAATTAAGATATGCTACTAATTAAGCAGGTTTATTTAACATAAAGTGTATATGCACAATGTGGGCACACACCACACACTCTCCCTCATCTTGGCTGCATGACTGCTGCTAAAATCAGTGATGCTGGAGTTAAATCTAAGCCAAATGCTGCAGTACTAATTCATGTGCTTTCAGCTGCTTCCTCTAGGGTCCTCTCTAGGTGTCAAAGTGGCTCTGACTGTTTGTTGTTTCAGTCTCAGTTCACATCCTCCCCACAGCTCCTGGCTCCACTGGCAGGGAGCGAGGAAGGCGAGGCAGGGTTAAAGAAGGTGAGAAGGCACCATAACTCTCCAGTCTGCCTCTTCTTCCCTCTCATCGCTTCTCCAGTTTTTTGAACCTGGCCTCTGTAAAGATAAGAAAACACAGGGATGTGATCACTCTGTAGCTAATGAGTGCTTGAGTCCAAATACAACACAATGGGGTGATGTTTGACTCTCTGTATGCTGTACTGTGGAGGCGTTTAGGTCAGGAATTATGTGTGGTATCACAGCGCCATCTGCTGGTACAGTTCATAATGCTTTGCAACATGAGCTGATAAATGTGGCTGTACTATTATTGGTCTGAGCCACACATACCAGACAAAGTAGCCAGCAAACAGAGTGAGAGGCTGTCATGTTTCTGTCATGCAGGGTGTGAGCTCTAATTAACAGAAAAACAGACACCCACCAAACATTGTGAAGGAAGCAAATTGTAGAATTTTACAAATATTATTGTTGATTTCGCCAAGTTAGTAAGAACATTAGTTAACTTGCAGGAATAAACGTATAACATTTATGTTATGTTGCAGTGTGTAATGGATTCCAATTAATTCACATATTATCACTCTCACTCAATACAGTCTTTGACTTTAAGGTCTGGTGTGTAAGTTTTAGGGAGATTTAGAGGTATCTAGTGGTGAAGATAGCAAACTGCAACCAGCTGAAACCTGGAACTACTTCAGTGTTTATTGTTCAGAAGGTTTTTACTGAGAGCCAACTCATCTGCAGAGGTCTCTTCCTCTCTGAAACAAATGGAGCAGGTGATTCAAGGTGGTAAAAACAGAGTAAAGCAGTTCCACATTGCAAATCAGTGTTTCTCCAATGCTGTTTTTGTCAGAAAAAGGCTGCTAGCCCAGCACCTGCTAATGTGTGCTCTCCTTTTGTCTCAGGTAACTTAACATCCACATGTTCAGGGTGTCTTTAACAGGAGCCAAATTATCTGTAGAGATCTCTTCCTCTCCAAAACAAGCATACCCAGTGACTTAATCTGGTTAAAACGCTGAGTAAAACAATTTCATGTTCAAAAATCTGTTTTGTTGTTTTGTTGGTGCAGTGGTTAGCATTGTCGCCTCACAGCAAGAGGGTTCGTGTTTCGAACTCAGAGTGGAGGAGCCCTTCTGTGCAGAGTCTGCATGTTCTCCCCGTGTCAGCGTGGGTTTCCTCCAGGTGCTCCAGCTTCCTCCCACAGTCCAAAGACATGCAGGTTAATTGGTGACTCTAAATTGTCCGTAGGTGTGAATGTGAGTGTGAATGGTTGTCTGTCTCTATGTGTCAGCCCTGTGATGGTATGGCGACCAACCAGGGCATACCACGCCTCTTGCCAGTGTCAGCTGGGATAGCCTCCAGCCCCCCCGCCACCTCTAACAGGATAAGCGGTGATGAAAAAAGGAATGAATGGATGAATAAACACAAAAGAAAACGTGTTAATTCTGTTATATTTCTGCCAATATATCCCCCTAAATCCTACACACTGGACCTCTAATATATTATACGCAAACTTTTGCACTTGAGTCTTACCCAGTTTCTTGGAGTATGCGTCCAGTTTGTAAGCAGCCTGTTCAAGTGAAGACACTTGCTCTTCAATCTGGTTTATCTGGTCCAAGTAGGGCTGTAGGCTAGCATCTAAACCAAACACACATACCAGCCACATGTTCATGGTGTAGTAGTAAAAATAATACATGAACTAGAAATAATGACTGTTTTGTGTGTGTGCACATAATGTATCTCACTCACATTTGTTGTTTAGATCCTGCAGGTTACGGCTGATGTTGATGCTGATATCCTTCATTTCCATGTACTTCAGACTGGTGAGCTTGTTCATGTTCTCCAACAGACGGTAATCCTCGCAAGTCCCTGGTAAAGTAAGAACATGGAAATTATTTGCATGAAAAGAATACGGTTTCCGCTGTACCCGATCAGCTATGTCTGCTTTTTACCATTTATTGAAAAATACTTTCCTCACTCAACAAAGGCCATGTCATTGGAGCCATTTTTGTTGATTTAAGCAAAGCCTTTGATACAGAGAATCATCATATTCAGCTGAATAAACTAAGCTCATTTCAACTCCCCCCTCTGTGATATCAATGCTCTCCTCTTATCTATCCCACAGATTTCAAGTAGTTAAAATCAGGTAACATCTCCCCCTCTAACTTGTAAAATGGGAGTTCCACAAGGCAGCATTTTGGGCCCTGTACTTCTTCTCCTTTATATCAATGACCTTTCTAACATGTGAAAATAGTCTAATTGTTTACTATATGCTATGACACTGTAATCGAAACTATCATCTAATCTTAACCACTTACATGACTGTCAATGTCAAGAAAACAGAATGTATGTATTTTCAGTCCCCTAAAAAACAATATCTATGTCTGACCCTATTCATTTTGCAAATCAAACACACAATCAAACAAAAAGATGTCAGACGCACACTCTAAGACTCGATGCAAAAATATTTTCTTTTATTCAAGTACCAACGTTTCAACTAGACTGTCTTCATCAGGGTATAGTACCCCCTTCATCCATACCCTGATGAAGATGGTCTAGTCGAAACGTTGGTACTTGAATAAAAGAAAACATTTCTGCATCGACTCTTAGAGTGTGCGCCTGACATCTTTTTTTCAAATTTGTATATTTTCGTCAATGGTCAGCACCTCTCCAACCCTGGTGTGCGCTCCTCCTCTCTCTTCGCAAATCAAACACTAACCATCACAGAAACCTACAAATATCTTTGAGTATTCCTCACTTATCGACACCACATTCAGAACCTAACAAAGACGCTAAACCAGAGACTATACGTCTATAACAAGATCAGACCATATCTCACCCCTGCTGTCTCAGACACATACCTACATGCAATCACTCTCTCGAAAATATTCTACTGTCTCCCAGTTTGGTTCCTCACAGCAAAGGAAACCATAGAACCAATGGTAAGACTATACAACAGAGCTTACAAGATGGAAACCTCCCCTGTTGGACTCATCACTGCACTGCACTCTCATACTCTAATGCTCTGACTTTTCAAAACCACATAAATGATCTGGCCATTAAACTCTATTTTCAGATCCTAAATAACAACTCCAGTCCTACACTTATTGCTCTACTTCCAAGTCACACCACAAGACAGCAACGCATGACTAGAGCAATTTTGCATGCACTTGTTCCTGTACCACAGAAACAATTATGGTCAAAGATCATTTTGTCACACTTACAATGAGATCTGGAGCGAGATCCCACACTACATTAGAGCAATAACCTCTATTGCACATTTCAAACACATATAAACACTGTCTGATGGAAGGACATGCCTGCAGCCACTGATTTAACTCCCATATCCTATTTTACTCCACTTCAGTACACTGCTTTGCATTATGTATGTAGCTGCCTATGTTGATTTTTGGTTTTTATTCTGTATTGTAATATGTTTTTGTTGTTTTGTTTTAACTGAGTAAGTCCGGTTTCACCTGTAACTCAAAGCTTCTGTTACTTCCTTTCCTGTATAAATAAATGAATGAAATGAAAGTGAGAAACAAAAGGAGTGCACCAGTAAATCACTGTTCTGGCTAATATGTTTTCCTCTGTGCAGAGACTAAGGAAGAGAAAATGAGGAAGTGTGCAATGTGTTACAAGACCTGTTAGTTCCCCTTGCAGGAAGATGGCCATCTTTTCAAACATATCAGTGCACAGCTCGTTGATATCAGGCTCTGCTGGCTCCACTGCCTCCTCTGCTGTCTCCACACCACCATCATCTGAGCCAAAGAATCAGGAGCAGGATGAAGACAACACAAAACACAGCTTGTCCATTTAGTTCAAACAATATCCAAAAATGGAGTAAAATAAATAATAAAGCTAAATACAGGGAAAATGTAAAACATATGGAAACAGACAATGACTGTCTACAATGTAACCCACACTGAAAGTCAAAAATAATTTGGTTATTATATGCTACGTTAGCATTAGCAAGCTACGGAAGCCGCAATGAAGCATCCCTCACTGTTCGTGCTGGGCTTTTTGGGAGCGACCGCCGGGCTTTCTGTCACATCCTCCGGGCCTTCCGTGTGACTGCTGGCGCTCGCAGCCGCGTTCAGAGCCGCTAAGTGGGCCGCTGGTGCCCTGGAGATGCTGTCCATTGCTGCGGCGTCGTCGCCAATTGCAGCCATTTTGTTCCTGTTTTGACTTTTTCCTTGTCACATGAGCGGAGTGTTCACGTGACGTCCGCCCGCCACCACAACCACCACCCCTACTCGCGCGCATTGCCACGCCCTGGTGGTGTCTGAGGCTGGACTGTGAGACACCAGCGGTTAATTACAGTCGGAAATATTTCAAACTACTTTTATCTTGTCTTTTTTCCCCAACTTCTTTTTTTTGCTGGTAACATTTATACTGGTTTTATCAGACTTTAAATTAGTATTTAATCAGTCACTAAAAAGACGAAACCAAGACAAAAAGGTTCACCTGTGCAAATAAAATATAATTATCTTAGAGTAAGTATGTTGTATGAAGGCTGCAGCGTGTCACCAGAATGATTACAGATAATAACTTTTACCATATATAATTTTTTTAACAAAAAAAAAAGGTCATTGAATTTAAGAATAAAGTCTTTTAAATATAAGTTTGTTATTATTATTGTAAGCCTTTGCACATCCCTGAAAATATATATTTTTGGAAACTCCTGTCTTGCTCTGTCATTTTAAACAGTTAAACTGTACACATTTTAAATAGTATTGTAATGCTTTTATTGCAATGTTTCTGTTCTACATTTATGTTTCTTGTCTATGCAATAAATCACCAATGCACATTATGCTGTATGTTTGACTGTTTTCATTTTGCAATTGCTTTAATTTAAAATTTAATTTGGTTCTCTCTGCTATTTAAATGTGAGAATGCAGTTTGCCACCTCGAAATGTAATGAAACTTGTTTCCCAGACTTTTATCACCATTTTAAAAAACAAAAGCAACACAAATGTATTTTACAACTACAAGAAACCAAAATACTTTGCATGCTTTGGTTACTTTCTTTGTTTTCTAATAACAACTAAAATATAATACCAATATAATATTGATTTCATACAATTTAATTCCCCAAAGTGAGTTGTTTATTGTAATTTTATTGTAATTCTAACGTAGATACCATAAACAATTTCATCTCAACATCTATGTTTCTCCATTCATACCTTGATAGTCGTTTAAAATAACAGGAGAGGCTTTTCTTGGCTGCTAAATTAGCTTTTCTGAGTTCTATAGAAACTTGTTTTCACTAGCATACATTTTGGAGATACATTTCATCATCTCAGCGTGATAACATTTACCTTTGCTGAAATAACAGGAGATGCATTTGATGCACATGATTACATGTGTGTTAATAAATGATGGAGTGATAAATCGAAAGAAATTATATA